GTCTGTGAGAAGTCCTCTGCCTGGCCCATTGCTCCTTTCTCCAAACTAAATTTGATAACCAGTAAGCTGGACACATTGCACCTGTATTTTTATAGGAACACATATTCTGCAATACCTTATATTGCTATAATCTTTGCAAGTGCAGATCTAGGCTGCCTAGGTTGATTGCTTCCCTTGTTTATTATTGTATGACAGCTGACACCCAATCTAACAGTAGATCTAAACAATGAACACAAAGATTGCCACTATAGAGAATGGACAGGAATACCCAGCTGCCATATTCAGTTTTCTTTAAGAAAGGGAAATTACCTTTGGTGGGCCTGATGTAAGCATGTGGGCTCTTAGATAGGGCTGAAGTTTGGGGAACCCAAGGGAGATTCCCCACTGATGTGTTTTAAGACAGCTAGGCCACTAGGAGCAGAAAGAAGAAACATGAAAACAAGGATTTTGGTTCTCCATTCATAAGAAACTGGATCCTGCCAACAGACAGCATCATCATTTGAAGTGAATTCTGTTATAAACCCTGCAGATGACAACTCGGTCTGACTTGCCCAAGGGAGTCAGACTGTGGACAGAGAACCAGTTGGTGTGCCTGTATTTCTGGCCTATTGAACACATGGATGCAACAACACCACTTGTTTATGCCTTTAAGTTTGTGGTATTTTTGTTATACAGACACAGAAAGTGAATAAAGGAATACAATGGTGTCCCAGTTGAATGTGAATTTGGAATTTTTTTTAAAAGAGAATTTTCCTAGTCACCTTTCATTTAGCCTTTCTCTACATCCTCAATTGGCTTCCCCACCATGGAGTTATTTCACTGAATGTAACTGGAAAATGCAATTTTGTCAGATTAAAATCTTTTCTCATATCACTTAGAATTATCTCTTTCTTTTCTCCCTCACTGCCAGCTTAAAATGCAGAGATGTATGGATCTTGGGTACAGTGTACACATGTTTGGATTGAAGAATCAAATAAAAAATACAAATATCAAGAATTAAAGATGTAATTCAAATATGTTTCATTCATTGCATTTGGCTGTCTGGAAACAAGTAACCTTGACATAACATCTGAAGAAAAAGGAGAAGCTGTGTGAGCATAAATGCGTGAATGTGTTCATATCTTTTATCAATAAACATTGCTAGAATGTAATGCATTTGAACTCACGTTTCTCCTGCTGGAACCCAGCACTCTGCCTTCTGCTTCCTGATGCTGCAGCTGGGTTTTATTGCAAGTGCAGGGTGTACCGTGGGAAGCACGCTGAAAGTTTTTAAACCACAAAAGGGGTTTGCCCTTTGTTAATTGATGTCTAGGTTATAAAGACTGGCCACTGTATGGTTATACGATGTGGTGTGGACAAGATTATATGCTTGCTGATATTACATGATGTGGAGTGAGCACAACTGTATACTTGCTGATAGCACCACTTAGGATATTTAGTTAAACCTTACTTTGCTTATAGTCTGGTAGAGAAAGGAATTGGTGTTGGGTCAAAAAAATATCAGACTGAAGCTTTATGGTTGAGGGTTGAGAGAAGGCTTTACAAAAAATGGAACTCCAGTATGTCCCATGGTTAATTCAGAAAATAATGCTATTCCCAGCATAGCATGCAGGTGACTGAAAATATTAGAAGGCCATGATTAACATATAACGCTCACCATTTCAAACCCATGTTTTGTGCCTTTATGAAAGCGATGGAATTGGATTAAATGAAAGGCTACTTAAATTTAGATTTGAACAAATGTGGAGAATGGGTTTTAGAATGAAGGGCAAGTCCATGACTACAACACTGGGCTAAATAAGGATAAATCTTTTAGTTAAAAGTGAGGACAACAGAGATGGGCATTGATGGCGCATGCCTTTAATCCCAGCACTTGAGAGGCACAGGCAGGTGGATCTCTGTGAGTTTGAGGCCAGCCTGGTCTACAGAGTGAGTGCCAGGACAAGCTCCAAAGCTACAGAGAAACCCTGTCTCAAAAACCAAACAAAACAAAACAACAACAAAAAAGTAAGGACAACACCAATAAGAACTTAAAAGTCTCAAAATCTGGTGGTCCAGGTGAACCACAGCTGAGATTTTACCAACTTTAACCAATGTCTTCCCGACACTAGAGAAAAGTTATTACCAAGTATATCTTTATGGGCTTCAATTTTTTGGGCCTCTATCTTTTCTATGTGAGTGACTACGCTGACAAAAATCCTGCATGCTCAGGCAAAATGAAGGACTTCAACTTATGCCCACAGGACCTTGTCAAGTAGCCAATGACTTGCTCTTTCATTGTGAGAGACTAATACCAATGCTGCTCTAAAGAAAGACACTTTTCATAATCACCCAACAATCCGCTAAGTGAAAACATGTGCACGGGCTTAGGAGCAGCCTGCTAGGGGTCTCTGCTGAATGGGAAACAGGTGCTCACATTCCATGCCACGTAATACCCCATTTACCCCCAAGTCCAAAGGTTACAGGACTAATAGCCGCCTTGCGGCAACCAGGGAAAGCAAGACACTGGTCCTGTCGGAACATCTGGGACATATTTTACATACTTGCAACATATGCTTCAGCTTCAATTAAAGTGAGGCTTTGGCACATTTATTAATCTTCTTTACTTTTATCCTATAAGAGGACCCATTGACCTGACCCCACTATTACACCACATGAGAAAACAGAGAAATAAATGAGAAATAATGAGAGCTAGAGGTCAGTACCTGTTCGTATGGTGAAAAACACATTAGTTTTTTCATGAGATTCCATTATACATGATCTACACACCAACTCGAAATGGAGGAACCAATGAAAATTTTAAAGTAGGAAATGATTCTTCTCCCATTCAGACACGCTGATAGCTAAGACTTAAGTACGATGTGTGCTCTGTGAGAGCCAAGCAACAGACTGAAGCTGGTCAATGAGCTCAGGATCCTTCCTCACCTCAAATTTTCTAGTCTAAGAGAGCTTCAAAGTCTTCTGCAAATTACTACACTTGAGATTTTCTTTTAGGTTCAGACACCATTTTCATACTATCAGTTTCAGTATGGTCAAAAAAAGGGGCTGAGTTATGACCAACAGCCTACCATGAAAACGCACTGCTTGCCTATATATCAGCTACAGACAAATTCAGTTGAATTCACACAGTAACTGGTTTACTTTGGTAACAAGATTTGAAAATGTGTCAGAAGTAGGGTGTTAATTTCAGACAGTCAACCACTGGTTTGGTACGTATACAGCTCCTGAGAGTTGGTATTGCCACTCAGATGTGTTCAATCAATATCTGTGTTTTGGTGAGCTGGTTAACCAGGGATGTCTATTTGTTGACTACATTGACTACACCTAAGATCTTCTCTATTAAAATAATGAACAAGAAAAGGGACACACAAAATACCAACAAACTGGCTAAAAATGGATGGGTTGGCTTCCAGCAGACAGGCATGGAAGAAGTAGACTTCACTGGGGTTCTATTTACTGGCATTTCTAGGGGATGCCTGCTGCTGGATGGGTCTCTATGGTTGCTTTAATAACAAAGCAGCAACAAGCAAGGGAGAAGAGCTGTAAACGGATGGCAGCTCAGTCCTTAGCAGCAGAGAACTGAGCAGCATTCAGAATGCTTAGCAGCATTCAGAGCCGGCATGTTGAGTTAAAGTACAGGCTCTCCACAGCTCTGCAACTGACCTTAACAATAAATCAGACCATTTGTTGCCAGGGGTGTATGCTCATATTATTTAACTTTAAAAACAAGCTTGTGTGTGTGTGTGTGTGTGTGTGTGTGTGTGTGTGCGCACACACACGCACGTATTTGCAGACAGCATATTTTGTTAGGTTATTTTGATTGTGATACTAATGAGTGAATGAGGTACAGGAGGAAAATTTCACATCAATTTAAGAGTGGCTGAAGCTGCATGAGAGGAAAGCATGGGGTAAGCATGTGTGTTTCTACCCTACTGAAAACATCAGTTGAGTCAGGAAACAGACTGTGAGGTGAAGTAGTTAGTGTAACATTTTTCCCCTTTGACATTTGAAATGCTTGCTTCCAACACAAATTCTTCTAGTGGGGTATAACTGTACATCTCTTCTGGAGTTGAAGGTCAAGGGCTTAAATTAAGATGCTCTGGTTTTCTTCCTTCAAAAACATCATTGCTTACTGTAACTGGTTAGTTTTTGGTGGAGGTCAAAATCTGGTTTTGTATGATGACTAATGTGCAAGTAATTACAATTTTTCTCCCCTGCCTCCTTGTCTCATTTTCAGATATGTTAAGTTTTGTATTTACAAATGCCCGGAGACCACAATGCTAGAGTTCTATTTTGCTTGCAGAAGAGAGCCGCTGTCCTAACCTCAGACACGGATGTGGTGGTGTAAGGTCAGACTAATGCTTCCCTCTCCCCAAGAAAGCGCCAACCCAAACAAGCCAGAGATTAGCTGCTGTTTACTGTGGCCACCATCCCCAAGCCAACTAGCAAATGAAATGGATGTGTCTCCAAAGGTCTTTGGTGATGGAGGAGGCATGGGGACATTCGAGTTTAGGCAAGGGCAGTGAGCACATGGCTATTTAAATGTCCCCCCAAGCAGGACATACACATTCTTTCGCCGAGAAATTCTTTGAAAATTATAGATGGCATTATCCATATCCAACTCACACAGGCTACTATTTTTTCACACCCGCCTCCTTCCTCCCAAAGCATAGACTGATTTGTAACACTGAACATAGGACAAATTTTTGCCCTTCAAAAACAGTTGTCACTGCTGTTATCTTCACAATAGCTATCAAGTTTCAGACAAGCTGATATTTTTTTCCTGGCAGAAAAATATTTGACCCAGCTCTGGACAAAAGCAGAGAGGATTTATAGCCATTTCTTCCTCTTTGCAACACGCAGTGGCATTGTTAGGATGATAAACAGCACTGTCCAATTTTCTGGACTCCAACACTTCGACTCCTTTTTTACTGTCTGTGAAAACAGCGTCATGCCTGCATCCCCACCCCCGGGTACCCAGCACTGGGGAGGATAATTACCTTGTCATCTTTGTCATCGTCTTCCTCCTCGTCCTCTAGCATGGCCTCCACCACCTGCAGACGGAAACACAGGCTGGTTTTATGCTCTTAGAGGAAAGAATTTTGTTCTGTCATTTTGAACCCTTTGGAAATGAAAACTTTATTAGCATTTGAAACACGTGCTCAGAGAGTGGAAGCTTCACCTAGAGATGAAGATTAGGAAAGTGCTCAGTCTTTAACTGATTAAAGCCAGGGACGGAGCAGTTCAGCAAAGAGAAGCCTGCTCATGTGACATGTCTGGGGTCAAAGGATTGGGAGTACACAGAAGGTAGACTAACATGCACCTGCGGGCTGCTAGAAGTCATGAGATTTCCTTCCTAGCTCTTCTGCTGCCTGTTTCAGTCAGGCATAGCGCTGGATAACAGAGCATGGAGGAACCCTCCTCTGTCTAATTTCTGTTTTGCCCAACTATAAGATAAAAACTACCTCTGCTAACTGACTCATACTGGTGGTCTGTAGCATAAAACTAACAATGAATGTCTTTAATGGCTCATATTTTTATTCTTGTGTATAAAATCAACTCTTAATTGACTTGCTCTGAGTGCCAGTTTCTGATTTTATAGGTTACCTGAACTATTCCTTTTAATTCTTCATAATTGTTTTGTAAGGACCATGAATATATACTAATATTAGAAATAGATTTCATAATTAAGTAGAAGTAGTAAATATAATTCACAATGGTAAATATGGGTACTTTAAAATATTTTTATTTTACCTTATTGTATGCCTGTGCATGTGTTTAGTAACCACTTGCATGCAGTACCCTCACAGGCCAGGAGAGGGCGTCAGATGTCTTGAAAGGGGATATACAGATGATTGTGAGTTGCCATGTGGGTTCTGGGAAACAAACCTGGGTCCTCTGGAAGAGCAGCCAAGGCTCTTGATACCCAAGCCGTCTCTCTGGCCCCAATATGCATATTTTTTAAATGGAAAAGTTATTTTGGATTTAACAAACATTTTTTTTTATTTCTTTGGTCAATATATAATTGTGAACATAATAAACGTAGCTTCATGAGGCAGATGGCCAACAGGGAGTTTGCAGACTATAAGGTTACACAGTAACTTCCAGGCCAGCCTGGGTTATAGCATGTGTCTCTGCCTTAACAAACAAACAAACTAGAACTTCACAGTTTAAATAAATGTTTTACCCACAATAACATGTTCATGTGTGTGCGCTCTGTGGAAACCAAAAACAGAAAACTCCAGGGAAGTGCTTTTCAGGGAAGCCTCAGAGGACTACAATTATATAGAAAGCAAATCCCACATAGTTTCTCACCAAACTCTTGATGATGGCAGCACCAAATCCTTCTTTTGTGTGACTTTGTAATACAAAAGAAATTAAGACAGTAAGATGCTGCCGAACTGTACAAACTGAGATGCTGTGCTCGTATTCCCAAGTGTTTTCTCTCAAGTCTACTACGAGCCTTGTGTGACTTTAATGAATAACTCAAACATAAATTTCCGGTTCTCACGAACCAATGTATAACTAAAGACATCTGAAAATTCCAACTGCTCCTAATTTGATGTCATACATTACATCTTTGTTAGAGAGTAGGACTTGCAGCCTTACTCCTGAGCAGTGAGCTCCTCAGAAGAGCCACAGCTGGACAGTATGTCGCTTGTAGTATGTGTTGAGAAGGCCCACCATCCGGGGCAAGCAACCCAGTCTCCACAAGGAATCTGCTCTCATCATACTCCTGACCTTATTCAAACGGCCGATAAGTATTTGTTATAAACCCCTGGTCCAAGGTGTGCAGTATAGGTAAGGTGTAAACAGAGAGACACAGAGACTCCATCAATATTCACACCAACCCTCCATGTAGACTTTTAGTTTTCTCCTGTTTGAAGCACTCACATTATAAAAATGGAGACAGCGGTGACAAATGTGGTGATATATGATAGGACGGCCAAATTGGATTATTTGTGATGGAGATTAGATTTCATCAAAAGAAGTCACTGAGCCCTCTTGAGATTATATTTAAATGACTTTATGTCACAAATAAAATAATAAAATTATCTTATAAAATTTACATTTAAATAAAGGACTTTTTCTTTCATTCTTTTGCTGAAGTTGGCCATGAAAAGTCTTACCGAATATGAGAAGAAAATAAGCTCAAACAATGCTGACGCTAGTTTTAATTAGAATGTTTTACTGTAGGGTCTCAAATAGTTGCTTGGTGTGTGCAATCCTGTATTCAATACTCAGGAGCAGAAACAAACTATGTCCTATGCCTCCTCTCTCTCCTCATTACACCTCACGTCCAGAAGGCCTATGTGACAGGTTATGTCTTGCATATTGCAAACTACATTGTAGCTGTTCAGGAAATATTTTGGTTTGATAAATAGTTGCATTAGTCACCTGGCTGTCATATCCTCTTGCTTGTTTTTGGTTTTCTAGTGTCACCTCTTCTGCCTGGAACCAAAAGCATGCATCACTGTGCCTGGCTGTGGGTCAAATGATTGGAAAACTCCATGGTAGAGCATTTACTATTTTTTAAGTTACAAATGCCCAGCTTTAGTGTAGCTTATTTCTATCCAGATTTAAAAAATTATTAGTTTATGTTTTACATTCCAATCTCAGTTCCCCCTCCCTACTCGCCTTCCGCTACCCCTAAATATAGTATGTACTCACACATAAGTGGATACCAGACATAAATCAAAAGATACCTAACATACAATCCACAACCCCAAAGAACCTAGAACCCTCTTCCAGAAACAGATGGAAGCAGATGCAGAAATCCACAACTAACCAATGGGCCAAGCCCCTAGAGCACAATCGAAGTGAGGGAGAAGCAGTAATATGAACAAAGGAGTCAAGACCATGATGGAGAAACCCACAGAATCAGCTGACCCGAGCTAGTAAGAGATCACTGACTCAGGTCTGACAGACAAATGGGGAACCTGCATAAGACCAAACTAGACTCCCTTAATATAGGTGACAATGGTGTGACTGGGACAATCTATGAGGCCACTGGCAATGGGTCCAAGACCTAACACTAATGCACAAACTGACTTAGTGGAGCCCATTCTATATGGAGAGATACCTTGCTCAGCCTAGACACGGGAGTGTGTGGGGTGGAGAGATGCCTTGGTCCTGCCTCAACTAGATGATGGGACAGACTTAGTAGACTTCTAGGGGAGGCCTCACCCTCTCCGAGGAACAGATGGGGCATCTACTTTCTACTTCACAGAGCTAGCCTAGCTCACTTGGAAAGGCATATATAGCCCGTGTTGTAGACGAATAAAGGCAAATGATCAAAATGTTTTCAAAGAGTGGCTTGGAGAAGGAACATGTCTACATCTAATCATTAAGATCCAGGGGTCATCACTACCAATTAATTTCCAAAATTTCAAAATATGAAAAATAAACAAGCCACTTGGACAATTTATACATTTTATAAATTATATTGTGTTCAAGTGTGACTCAAGGAGGTCTACAGAGTAGGGCTTCTTTGCAAAAGCCAAACTGTTATTACCCTCCCTGAGTGGGTAATTGGCTCCAGGCAATTACTCTCCACATGTGCAGCCAGGACGCCCGGCACAGCCATTTGCGCCTACATTTGGCTGAAGAGTCTTGTGCTGTGTGCTGCTGAGGGCTTCCCTCCTCAGATGCCTTTGACTGGTACATCACAGGCATTTACGCTTGAGGATTCATAAAACAGGTGCTGGTTTCCTATTGATTTCTCTATATGACTCCAGAATGTACCCCACCAGAACGTGTTGCTCAGGTGAGGCTTAATATGCTTTGCAAAATAGTCATGGTCATAGCCCCGTCCCACAGTGCTAGTTAAGGACCCAGTCAGGCTATGTACATAAAGTTTTAGCACACTTCCTGCATCAAAACAAGTTCTCAAAAATGTCAGCTAATAATAAAAACAAAATGTCAACTGTATCTTGAACATGAATTTTTGGAAATTAAAGTATATCTTTTTTCCAGTATTCTGAATGACATAAAATTCTGTCTCATGTTTTCACTGACTTTTAAGAGACAAATCAGGGCATAGTATAGGCATAGATGAAGATTTTAGCTTGAAGTCAAGAAGGAGTCATGACTAATCTTCAGGCAGTTAGTGACTCAGTGAATGTACAGCTCTGAGAGCTTGTGTAGCTTCTGAGCTGGTCTGTGCTTTAAGACACACAGTCCAGGCAATGTAATCAGCACAGAAACTGCAAGATGAGTTAAACAAAAGCTACGTACCACTGAAGTACATTTAATGATTACCCAGAACTTCAGCCTTCCCAAGGAACTCCAACCTGTTATTCAAAAGGAGTGCTGGAGTTTTAACACTTAACTAAGGAAAGCAAATAGAAAACAAGAGCCTTCCCTCAAATTCCAGCTCTTTCCTCCTCAAATAAAACCAAATAAGTCCCACATAGTTCTTTTAGGCATTCAAAGTCCAGTAGCCCACCAACAACAATTTAATCACACCACACCACACACACGGGGAAGGATGTGTGTGTGTGTGTGTGTGTGTGTGTGTGTGTGTGTGTGTGTGTGTCCGAGAGGGGGGAGGGAGGGAGAGAGGAAGGGACGGACAGACAGACAGACAGACAGAATATTTCCTTCTCCTTCAGGGGAAAAAGGAAAATGATTGAGAAAAGTGTGTTTGCTAGAAAAGATACAGTTACTAAGCTGGATTTCCCTCTTTTTCTTAAAGGGAGAGTGTCTAAGCAAGGCTCCAGAACTTTTTCCAAATCATTCTTTCTGATACCTTGCTTGAAAGCAAGTAGTATTAATCAAACAAAAGAAGGGCACTAGGGAAGTCAGAAAGATGTAATGCAAGCAGTTAAAAGTGACATGACCTTCTGTGACGTCGCTCGTCACAGCCTATATGCCATGCACTGGAGGAAGGTCTGCAAGGAAACTGATTCTAGGCACTATTCCCTGAATGCAATACTAATAAAGATGACATTTTAAAAAACACACACAGGCAGCCCCAAACACAGTATGCCAGTTACATTACAGCCAAAGAACAAACAGATACCATTATTTTTAAAAGATAATATTTCTTCTT